GATGATATAACAAGTATAAATATACTTGACGAGGTAAGTTTGTTATCTCCTAATTACGATAGGGGTGTTTTAGTAAGATTAAAAATTTGCTCTGAAATTCATGATATCTTGCAGAAATAAGTTGTTAGCTGTTCAGTTAACAATTATTCAATATTTTATATTGATAATTATAGTATATTAATTTAATTCAATTCACTTGTCGGTGAGATTTATGGTAGATTTTTATAAAGATAATGAAAACAAAACGTGTTTAAACTCAGATAATACGAGGTTTCAAGGTAAAGTTAAGCTAGACGATGTAATCAAGGAACAAGAACTAAGAGGTAAGGAAATACAGGGGGGATATCATAAGATATATAAAGATATTGAAGAATCCCGTGGTAAAATGGATGAGAGTATTAATGAAGAGAGTGATACACCAGAACAATTCTGCAACCAGATCTTTGACTTTTTTGAAGATGCTTTTGATAAAGAAAATATGAAAGATGAAAAGGAGTATCAAAAAATTAAGGCAGTAATCTTTATTCAAGAAAGAAAACGAGATCGTCTTTTATCAATGCTTGAGTTTATCATATCGCTACTGAAAAAACTTTTTAGTGTGGGATCGAGTTTGAACTTGCAAGAAAGGCTAAAAAAAGAAATAGAGGATTTAGAAAAAGAATTACTAGACGAGAATTTATCTCCAGAAAAGAGGATAAGCAAACTTGAACGGTTGAATTTGCTGAAGTTTGTAAATCTTTTTGGGCCATTGAATTTTATGAGCATGACAATTAAAGCACTCACTATTTTTGTAGTACTTGATGCCACTTCGCTAGTTAGCGAAGGGTTTATAAAAGAACTATTGGCGGGAGAAAAGCTTGTTCTGCTGGAAAATAGAGTAATAAGAGAAAAAATCACCGATAAATTCATTATGAGCATTGTCAATATATTAAGTGGTGTTGCGCCATTGGCTCAAAGCATAGGAGCATTGTTCAGCATATCTATTATTGAAAGTGTGACTGCTGGTGTTAAGACCGACGCGGGAATTGTAGACGCAAGGATGCTATATCTTCTACCTCCTGTAATTCACGGACCAGATTTGCCAAAATTAGCGGCAGCAGAAAGAGAAGTGCAAGCAAATCTAGTGGAGGGGTCAAAGCAAGATCCTCCTCACGCTAAGCCAGAACCTGAGGTTACGCAAAAATCTGAAAAGAGATCATCGCGTAAAAAAGACAAAGATGTGATCGGTATAAAAGAAATAGGAACAGAACCTCGAGCAAGTCAGTCAAATGTTTGTGAGCCATTTAGTGCTATACAGGAGACCCAGCTTGAACAGTATCGATTTGAGCAGAGCCAGGGACGCGGTTTCAATTAGTGAAAAAAATGCTTGCAATCATAATTTATTTTTAATATACATATTGTATAACTTATTAAATAGTAGATAGGAAGTTAATATGAATAGCGCATGGAAAAATGATAATTTAGTAGCTAAAGGAGGATCAATAGCTCCTCTCGATCATCCTCGTCAAGATAGTCAACATTATGCACACAAAAATTTATTAAGTCAGGTCAGTCCATCGGGACGTTTCAAAAATCTCCTTACGCAAAATTATGCAGCTTCATCTAAAAGTCAAAGGAATTAGTTTAATTTAATGAGGCTTATGCCTAACTCACATAACAAATTAGTTGATGCCTTGGTAGAAGCATTTAATGTTAATAATTGTACCCGTGGTGTCATGGATACTAATTTTATCACAGATGGTTATCATATAACTACAACATTTGGTGGTTCCATAGAAGAAGCGGAATGTAAAAAATATTTAAAAAGTCTGAGGGACGCAATAGAAGATACGTTCCATCAAAGTTGTACAGGAGAAACACAAGGGCCTTTTTATCTTAAAAATTTTCCTTTTTACGATAATGCTGGGAAGATATTTAAAGACCCAAAAATTGGTAAGTTTAAGTATGAGGTCCCTATTGCTGATGAAGTGCTATTTAACTTACAGGCTCATCTCATCTACTCGATGACAAAGCCAATAAGAGCTTCTATGGGTGGTGATACTCACCCTCATCTTGTTAAGAATAAAAAATATATCATGTGTAGCCGTTTTGCAAACGAAGAAATAGCAAAGGATTTTAAACAGAAGTTCTATGCTGAAATGCTAAGAGAGTTAAGACGTGATCTATCATCTTTCGTGACGGTTGAAGGCAGAAACTTATATATTGGTAAGGATCTTGTCAGTGACTTAGACTTTATTCAAAGATGTGTGCTGTACAATGCGGGAAAGATAGGTTGCGCTCTTGAAATTCCTAGCGCTGATTATGATGGTAATAACATACCAAAGAGAGAGCTCAATTTCCAGGAGTTGCTTACTCAAATTATCTATCGTACAACAGATATAGTAATTGATAGTTATTATCATGCTTTTTCTCAAAAAAGTAGAAAAAGGTGCATTCTTGTGCCGGCTATAGCTGTAAATGATGAAAGAGGTAAGATACAATACTTTAGGTATCTAAATGCATCAGAAGCGCAAGCTATCAATGCAGCGTTTGACTCTCCAGTGGTAAGCAATCTTGCTGAAGATATTTCAGATGAAAGTATAATAAGTAAAGTAGACAAAGGAAATTTCGGGATAAATAGTATAAATTTTTCCAATAGAGAAGTCTCGCGGCATGTATGCAAGGTTGTTTTTAGCAGTGCTACAGCTGTTCAAGTTAACGAAGATGAGTATGGACTGGAAGTACAATCTTCTCCACGTATAGATACGTTGCGCGCAAAGGTAACGGAGATTCGTAAAAAGGAAGCTCGGTTACATACAAGAGTAGCTCAATCATGTGTGAATATAACTCTGTCGTCTATAAAGTTATCTCACTTGCGTACAGAGTCAACCAGATTGCGTGAAGAGGCAGCTCAATTGCGTAAAGAAATAGAAGCCGAGGAAAAAAGGCAAAATCTATCTTCTTGCAACCCGGGGAACCAATTTAGTTGGTGGTCATCTCATAGCGGTTCATCAGATGGTAATGATAATCATCGTAATATTAGTTCTGATCTTCAGGGTGGTCAACAAGGTGCTAGTCGTTCGAATCCTGCAGGTCCATCAAGTAGCAATGATTTTGGCATCAGAAAGGGTCAAGGGCACGGTGATAGTCAGGATGAGCAACGAGGTCACCGTAGTACAAAGTTACCTTATGGTACTCATCCATATTATGCTGTTGACCCAGGTTGTTATGGTAGTTCTTCAAGCATTGCAGGAGGGTTATTAAGTAAAACTGCCGCTAATTCTTCAAGGACAAATAAATTGAAGAAGCCAGATAGCAAAAAGTGCAGTTCAGTCTTCAAATGGGTTAAATCTTTCTTCTCTAGCAGCAAAAAAGATACAACATTAAAGCACGCGAACAGTAAATCTGGTGTGTTTGTTAACACACCAGGTCAAACATCAGGATCAACTCGCAAATCACCAAATGGATTACCAGGTCGTGTTAATACTAATCTCACAGGAGTACGCGCAGAGCAAACAGCAAATATTGCCAAAGAAAGTTGTATAGTGTAGTGATTTTTGATGTTAAACGACTTTTTTTGGTAATCAGGGGCTGCATGAGCTTTAATGTGGGGAGTTTTTATAGCAGGAGATTAACATGAACAATCAATACAGACTGTGTAAAAAGAAAGATCTTTCTTGGGGGGGGGGCTATGTGATCCAGTAGGCAGGGGAGGAGTAGGGCTGCTAGTCAACGTTCTCATGGAGATGACCAGAGCGATACACTCAAAGGTCACAAAAGTCCATCGAGACATCTCGGGGATACATAGGTTCAATGCTGTGCGACTTTAAGTAAAACAAAATAGTTTAATTTAATAGGAGGCGTTATCCCTAATTTAAAGAAAAAGTTAGTTAGTACAAAGTTAGCTGATGGGTAGTAAGAGGATTTAATATCAATAGTTGTAATGTTATACCTACTAATTTTACCACGGATGGTAATGGTTATATTACGATGATGTTTAGTAGTAATACGCCAAGATCAATGCGTCAATTACTTACAAGAGTTAGAGAAGAGGACAATTAAGGAGTTCTTCGAGTAGGCTGGAACAGCAACTTCTTTTAATCTTGATCATCCCTTTTAATCTTAATTGGCGAAATATAGGAGCGGATGAAGAAGCGGGTAGATTAAGCTCATGGTTCTTATAACGCACAGAGGTGCTATCTAACTTACAACCTTATTTAGCGCTTTCGATATCGAGGATCATCGAAGTAAAATGGGTGGTAAGATTGTTGCCATAGACTGTGAGAAGGACGGGGATATTGTGGGTGGCGGTTTTGAAAGCGCAGCATTGGCTCAAGAGTTTACCGATCAGCTTAATATGAAAGTACAAAAATTAAATTTTTACACCAGGGCATAGATATTATGCATCAGATTGCGTGAGAGTTAAAAGTAATAATATATATTACTCGGGGTATTTTTTAATGATACTAGTTTAGTTGAGAGCTATGCAGAAGAAGATGCATGGGTTACGGGGCGTGGTTTTGAGGAGTCTGATGCTGAAGACAGTGATGTTGCAGTGCTCAAAATGCACTCATTGAATTTATTCGTCATGCAACAGGTATAAACATTAGGTATTGTGATCGTACTTCCCATGTATTTCCTATATTGCCAAATGATCGTAAAGAATATAGCATTTTTGTACCAGGTGTAAAGGATGGTAAGGTCTGAAGGTATCTAAATGCAAAGGAGCAGAGATAATTAATTCTGTGTTTAGAATCAGCAAGTTTGATTTTAATATATTGTGCGATGTCATTGCTTGTATTAGAGGTGATTTTTCAACAACCCAAGCAGAGAAGGAGTAGGAAGTATATGCTAAGATTTTATAACAAAGATGTTGGAATTTGCGTACCTGACAGTCCTTTTTTGAAATGCTTTAGTTACTCAAGTTGGTAAAATGAGTATGGGCTGGAAGTACAATTTTCTCCATACATAAATATGTTGATGATATAGATATATTACATGCAAAGGTAACTGAGGTGGGTGCTGCATATTATGGGTTAGATTTGCAAGTAAAAAGTGTTAACGTAGAGCAACATAAAGGTTCGCATATAAGTCATACAAATCAACCTTCGAGTAGTTACTATATTCTATAGCAATTGCAATAGAAATTTGTTAAGCTTTCTGTTGCTAAAATGTGAATCCTGCTTTAAAATATAACAT